CTACTGTATTCGTTATTGTTATCCTGTTTTTTTGCAAGATGCAATGGCCTGGGACAACTGCATTAAAAGAATTGACTCCAGACTGAGTCTCTACAGAGAGATGAAGCGAATAGTGCTTAAAATGGGAACCGAGAAAGTCTCCACCGGTATCTGCTGCTTAAAACGGTAACAGAGAAGTTCTCTGATACCGCGAACGGACTCAGATGAATTGTCTGATGCCGAAAAAGGCCGAAACTAAGCAGAGAGCCATTCCCTGTGGGTGGCGAATTGTCACCACACTGACCTCATATGAGGCAAGTCACTTGTCGTCTGAGACACTAGCGAAGAAAATGGCACGGCATTATCAAGCAACAAATCACTTGCCAGAGTAAACAGGAACAGAAGAGCCCGGTTATAGGTTGGTATGTAAACACCTGCAGCGATACATGACGATATCGGCTGGCCAAGCGCTTGTTGAGAAGAAGCTCTCCTTTTGCCTACAACAATTGTTGTCTGGTTGATTTTGTATTATTAACTTGTAATATGAAAACGCTTCATTATTATCATTATTTTCTTAACACTCGACTGACACTGCAGTACTCATAATTCTTTCTTGCTTGAGCGCAGCAGTAGCAACTGCGCGTATGGCACCGTCAAGCAGCGCCTGCTACAATGCACAAGCTTCGCCATCTGGTCGTAGCTACCGCCATCCTCGCCAGCATACCGCTTCACACCGCGGACCCGCAGTACCCAGTACAAGTATGAAACTTGTTTACAGTGCACGAAGCTGTAATAAACACACCCATCTACAGCATCAATTTTCGCCATTTCTTCGCTCTTTCCCGGGAATGTTCTTGCGTACCACCCCGACAGAACATGAGAAAGCCATCAGTGAAGATAATAAAATGCTTGGAAGTACAGTTACGAAGTTATCTTTAAAAAACCGGGCGAAATTGGTGGATACGCGAAATTCCATATAGTACAGTAACTTCAACGCGCCAAAGTAGAAAGATAAAAGCTATAGCAACCATATGAAACAGATTAACCCACCGTTTTCGTCCCCTTTATACATTTCAAGCTCCAGTTTCAACTGTACCGAGGCTCAAAATGCCTCGAGGACCGACTATTACAGACGTCGAAAGGGGCCAGATACTCGCCCTTCACAGGGAGTGTATCTCATACAGAAAGATAACAGAGATGGTGAATCGCTCCCTTGGCGCTGTGCAAGGCGTGGTAAGACAAGGCTTTAAACCTAAAGCGCCCAAAAAGTGGAAAGGCAACCAAAAACTTTCCCCGACTCAGCAGAGGGCAATGGTTCGGATGGCACTACAAGGGGAGGATAGTGCCAGGACGATTCAGGCTGAACTGAATCTGCCTATCGGCAGCCGACGCGTTCAAAAAATCATTCGTGCAGTGCCCTATCTGAAGTATTAGAAAATGATAACGGCACCACAGATGACCCCTATTCATAAAGAGAATAGGGTTAAGTGGTGCCGCAAATATATAAGTAAGGGAGAAGAATCTTGGAACACTGTCATCTTCAGTGATGAAAAAAACTTTAACGGAGACGGACCAGATGGTCTTGCATCTTACTGGCACGACTTGAGGACGAAGGAGAGGATATTTTCTAAAAGACAGATGGGAGGGGTTTCTGTAATGGTATGGGGTGCCATCAGCCTCTACGGTGTATCTCCTCTCAATTTTTTGGGTGGTCGTCAGGATTCAACGAAGTACTGCGAAGTTTTAAGAGATGGACTGCTACTGTTCGCAGCGGAGGTGATTGGTGAGGGTCATAATTGATTCCTTCACCAGGACAACGCTCTCATTCATACCTCCAATTTCACTAAGAATTGGCTCTCAAACCACTCTATCACTACGCTGCCATGGCCACCGAAGTCCCCCGACGTCAATATTATAGAGAATGTGTGGGGAATGATGGCTAGGACTGTCTACGCCAGAGGTAGGCATTATGAAAATGTAGATGATTTGGAGGTGGCTATAGAGGAGGCGTGGTCTGCAGTAGCATCAGACCTTTTACTCAAGCTTTACAAAAGCCTACCCCGTCGCATGCATGCAGTGATGGATGCTGGCGGCGGTGCAACGAAGTATTAAAAGCTATTTGGTGTTTTGTGTCATATAGAATTTCGCGTATTTATGGCTATTGCGCGACGTTTTTTATAAATTGATTGCCATTGTTTACTTTTCGCATCAAACTGACATTACAGGCGTTTTTATTGGCGCTGTTCATGCCGGACACGTGCCGGTGCGGCACGTCTTACAATAAAAGCACATGTTCACATCTTATTGAAGACTGTATTTATTCTAACTTCGCGCACTGTACTTGATACAGTATCCGTTCTATGAGAGTGTAAAGTTTTACATCGCAAAAATAGCCATTGTAACAAAAAGGAAGAGCACAGCAGTGCTGCTTTGTCACTGCAGTGCTATACCATCACTTGAAAATCTCATTCCGAAAGGGTATACAGTTCCGTACACGAGTTAATTTCGAAACTCTTTAATTCAATTAACCTTTACCACTCGTACCTACAGTACTACATGGTGTGGAGAGAGGTTGCTTTTTAAGGCGACATTGGTTGAGTCTGGATGAACTAGAACATGAGAAGGCAAGCTTCCTTGCTCGTCACGAACAGTGGCACGTGTACTTCGAGGCTCTCGTGGCCCGTTTAAACCTGCCCCTCGCGGCAGGGTCCAAAGATCAAATCAAGTAGAAATATGGGTCCTTCGCTTTTCCATACCGTACTCGTAGAGAGTCCAAATGGCACAATAGACGACAACATCTCGATCCAGTCCCAATCCTGAAGAAACGGACGCCTAATGTTCAGGGGATTGGAGGACATAGCCTAAGCCTGTGTCATACCCACTGCAAGTTGGCGCATACGGTATGCGCAAAGAGCAAATTTTTTGACTAAAAAACGCGCCACGATAGACGCTTGCTCCCTGTGGCTTCTGATATCCGAGTTGTTCGTGTAAAGGAATGTCCTAACGCCCAACACGCGTGCGTCCCACATCAGGATTCTTCCGAAAACTGCCTCTACGGTACTGCAGCTGCGAGGAGCACCTCCATACAGACCAGAAAATCATGAAGGCTGTACTCGATATGTAGGGCGAGTTTAATGGGCTTGGCATTGTCTTGTAACGCGACGCCCTCTCCACATCCTCTCCGTGGTCGCGATCCTCTATGCGTTCCAATCACATATCTATCTGGACAGTCTTTTGCCTTGTGTGCATTATTTGCGAAAGGAGGACGCGGAACGTACAGCGTGACGTTTAAGGTATCATTACACGCCTTCCCTGAAGAATTCAGTAACATTGACACGTAGCTCCCGAACATGAATATCAGACGTTGTCACCGGCAGCGAGATGAATGATGTTGATCTAGATGACGTTTCGAAGAGTTCCTAATTCTGTCTACGGTTGTTCGCAACTTTTGAATATTACCGATCACACAACGCGCACGTTCTCACCACCATTACCACCTATAGATGCCGGGAGAATCTCGACTTGGCTCATTGGTCAAAACCAGAATTTCCTTCGGTTCCACCCCGAACTACCCCGAACTACTGCACACACAGTCCTAAAATGATAGATCGTCAGAACTTCAAGGCGCTGCAAGCATCGTGCCAGTGAATCCATGGAAATTCAATGCTATTTCCAGAAAACTCGCAGACCATGACCTAAGCTCTGCCATTCAAATGTTCTCTTCGGCATCTGCTCTTTGCTCAATGAGTGAAACTTGGATTTAATGTGCAGAGATCCGCGCTGCCAATGTGGGATGGGATAACAGCGTCATTATTGTCTCAGATTTTTTTAAACAAGTTTGGAGTCGGCCAGAGCGATGTTTTATAAACCGAGTGGGAAGTCTGAAGTGTACTTTTCTAGAAGACATTTGTTCCCCTTTCATTTCATGGTGTACATGCACATTTAATGTGCAGAGATCCGCGCTGCCAATGTGGGATTGGATAACAGCGTCATTATTGTCTCAGATTTTTTTAAACAAGTTTGGAGTCGGCCAGAGCGATGTTTTATAAACCGAGTGGGAAGTCTGAAGTGTACTTTTCTAGAAGACATTTGTTCCCCTTTCATTTCATGGTGTACATGCACATTTAATGTGCAGAGATCCGCGCTGCCAATGTGGGATTGGATAACAGCGTCATTATTGTCTCAGATTTTTTTAAACAAATTTGGAGTCGGCCAGAGCGATGTTTTATAAACCGAGTGGGAAGTCTGAAGTGTACTTTTCTAGAAGACATTTGTTCCCCTTTCATTTCATGGTGTACATGCACATCGTTTGTCAGCGTATCGACCATAGTTATGCAGTACACTCGCCATCGCGACCTGTGAGATGGATCGCTTCAATCGTGATATGGCTTTGATAGCTTTTATTCCTCTAGCATATGCCCTACTTGAACAGCATCATCATCGCTGGACAGTGATGGTCCTCAACAAGAGGACATTTGACAGATAATATAGGAAAGATATGCTTCTCTATTTCCACCTTCTGGAAAGACTGGAGGAATCCTGATAGATCAAAGAAGTTCTCGAAAGAGGACAGAACTATGTGCAGTACACGCCTTCGCGTGGTTGGTCTTTCATCTAGTCGGCGATAACGATGAACGAGCGATTCTGCAATTCAAGTTAGCGGACTTTGAGAGGACTCCGTTTAGGGCCCCTTAATTTGGCCAATGGCCAACACCACATCAAATTGGAGGAGATAAGCTCAATTTTATCCTCACATGCCTGATTATTTGTATTCACACTGGAGCGGTTGTTTGGCGAAGCCCTCATAGATAGAATTACATTCAAAACTAATGAAGTCAATGCGCTAATGTGATGTTGAAAGAAAAAATAGCTTGCGGGCGAAGGGATTTGTGGACGGCCGAAGACTATAAAAGCCGGCATCAATCGGCTCGAGTAGTGAACAGACTCACACACATAACTCAGAATCACTTCAGAGACCAATTGTTATCTTTCTTCATCAATCCACAGTTTCTTACTCTGCAATGGCTCCCCTAAGGTTCATCGCTTCCTGTGCTCTGTTGCTCACGGCTGTTTTTGGTTCTCCGTTCCCCCTTGAGGTGATTGACATTGAGGAAGGTTTCATCCCGATCACCCTAGTCCGTCAGGGTGGTGATCCTGTCTTCGCGCTGAACAACTCGGTGGTTGGATACGGAAGGCTCACGGACGTCGGTATCTCGGTGAACCGGGGTGCCTCTGCAAGGCTTAGATTTAATGTTGAAGTGAATGCTATTTCCGCGGAACGACTCGAGAACAGTGACAGTACCTTCGAATCGTCTCTGAATGAGGAGGAAAGGCAATCTTACAGGAGTAGGAAGAGTTCGTACTCTGGTGGGCTTGGTGTCTCTTTCCTTGGCGTGCTTGGCGCTAACATCAACAAGCGTGTGACCAAGGAATCGATGGAATTTGCTCGTTCTTTGGATGTCAACTACGACCAGAAGAGCACTCTTGCTAGAAAGATCCTAGAGGACGTGGTGGAGTCCAGAGTGCGAATCACGGGTGAACTCCTGGCTACCGGTGTGGACCTCATCCCTACTGTAGCTACGGCACGTGTCAGGACTGCGCGTATCACGCTTGCTGACAATAGCCGCCTCTCCGTGGTATCTAGCACGGCGGATGATCTCGTTGCTTTGGATTCTAATAATGACCCTCTCCCGGTCTCCGACAAGGAATACGAAGTGTTTGACCTGTAGACGGATAGTGAAAACTGATGGTGTGGTGCAGTGCCGCCTGGAGAATTCAAGAACACCTCTTTGAATCTCAATAAAAACAGGTTTCCCTTTTCATATCTTTGCCTCGAGCTGTAGGTCAAATGTTTTTGATATGCTGCTTCGAAGTGCAACGTTTCGTCGAGTGTTCTCTTTTAGATTGGCACTCATCATCGGGCTTGTGGAACCAGTGAATGAAAAACAAGGTGGCAGAGTGGCGGCTTGGCATTGATTTGGCTCATGAGAGTTGCGCCAGTTTGCTTTAAAACGCAGTTTTAGTGGTCTTTGACGCTTGCCATTACTGTATTGAGCTCCCAAGTTTTTGATTGTGCAACGGGATCTACCATGTAAATGGGCACACGTCTACGGGATTCACATGAGAGGTGGGCATAGGTAGGCTGCGCATTGGTAGGGATTGGCTGATAGTGGGGAAGATCTCCTGGCGGAGGGGAAAGTAGTTGTGCTCGTTGGGAGGGAATGGGCAAGGCTGGCATCATCATGGAATAGATAGGGCACGTAACTTGTGTCATATTTGCTATTAGTGTACAGTACCCTTGGTACTGTGCTGTATACGTACAGTATGTGTGTAGTGCTGCCGTGGTGAAAAAGCAAGAGATGGCAGTTGTATCGGAAGCAATTGTGAGCAGAAACTGGGTCCGGACGAGTTTCCAAAGCTCTTAAACCTCATCAGCATACAGTGATAGTGTATCTAATGGGCATACGATACTATGTGCCCTACGAGTACGTTAGCGTATGGCTGATTACACTATTACAGTATGTGTTCCACTGTACGCATTGAATTGAAGAAGATTCCAGAGTCGGAAAGGATTGGCAGAACACGATGAAGCCACGAGGCAGAGGGTGTGAAGTGCACGTGTTCGAATAAGGAGTCGGCGTGACCAGGGTTTGCAGGTGTGCCGAAAAAGTGACGTGAGATGTTTCTTCGGGGCTCCGGTACTCCACGACTTGTGATGAGGACCGCAGAAACCGAGAATATTGAAAAGCAGGTGGAGATATGGTGGATGTCGTTTCCTCTTGGGAGATTTTGCACCTGATGGCCCCCCTAAACGCAACATTATCTCTTTCCTCTTTTACGATGATGATTCAGGTGTTCGACATCCCACAAAGGAAAAAGGGTGTGCATGCAACATGGCGATAACACAAGGCATTTCAAAGGGGTATTTGTGAGAGAAGAATGGGGGAAAAAGCGGGAAATGTGGGACATGTTTTAACAAGATGTTTGTTGTCGGGTTTGATTTGAGAAAAAATCAGGCAGCGGGGAATGTGTTGCTCACAGGCATTGGAAAATCGTGGCGCGTTGTCAGGACGTTCAGCACAGTTGTGCCCTTCAAGGGTCAATGGGTACTGTAGAAGGAATGTCAACGGGCAAGGGACAATACTCATTGTCTTACCTATCACCACTCGTTCTGTACCATGACTATGGTAAGGCGACACGTGAGGATAAATTGATATATTTATCCTGTTATGATGTCATGTTTTCCATAATCCCAATAATTAGTCAGATTCTTGTCTGCAATCCATTCTTATTGTCATGCCTCTTTGTTAAAATACCAATTGCTGTCAAACCCGTCACCTACCCATATGGCCGTCATTGGTCTTAACCATTCCAGGCATGTTTTACTTTTTGACACATACCCGGAAGTCGAGTGGATTATGACACTCAACTGGGTATCTTGGTTCAGACTCACACTTTTCTGGTATTTCTCCGGAAGCCTGACACCGATCTTGTATTGCAATCCTCCGAGTTGACGCCCAAACTGTACAGTATTCTCTTGAGTCTTAAACCTGACTGGGATTTTGATATTGGTCTGATGTCAGACGCTGTTGACATCAACAGCATATCTGGAATATTTCGTTCACATGACACCAGTCTGGGAATTCGTCCATTGATTTAATATCGAGAGGAGTTACACATCGCAGCGTTGTACAAGTGTAGCGTTGTACAAGTGCAGCGTTACAATGCATGTCGCTGCTGGACACCGCTTTCTGCGCCTCCTGTATTTATGGTTGAGACAAGTTTACCCCTGAAGGGTAGAGTGAAAGTGTTGGGCGCGATCCTGAATTGGCAAACTGCGAATTGTGGCCGAATTGGACTGTGCACATGAGGAGAAGGGCCCAAAAAGTACTGTACCCTTGGTACTGTACATGTTATTGAGTGGTGACCGCCGCAAAACAAGAGGCGTGATGTGAGAAACGGAAGATATGAATACGGTACCCTTAGGGTAACGGTACCCTTAGGGTATCGTATTCTTGCCTTCTTGTCAATGATGCATGTTTCAGAGGATTGATTTCAGAGGATTGATTTCAGAGGATTGATTTCAGAGGATTGATTTTATATACATTTAATCAAAACGAGGAAGCGGAGTGTCAGGACGGAGCACACAGTGCGTCATGTCATGGCGTGCCCCACGCGCGATTCGGCAGAAGGCCGTCCGTTTGACAAGGCCATTCACCTGTTCACGCGGGTGCGGAGAAACTGAGACAGGCAATGACACACGAGCACAAGCACCGCGCCCCACTCCCTCTTTGTTAGGAACGGCCGTTCCTAACGAAGAGTTCGCCGTGCCAGCACCCGAGCACCCTGAAACTTGGCATGGATGTATTGGTTGAAAAATTATTGGAAATGCACCGCACCCCACTCAACCAGCGTGCACAAGACCTCTTCCCGCTGCGCGGGAAGCCGGCGGGAAGGGGTGTCCAGGGCGAGGAGATCTGCGCGCGGGCCCTCGCAGAAACCCTCCCGCCGCGCAGCAGGCCCTCTCGCGGCGGGCGGGGAGCTAGCGGCCCTTCCCCGCCGGGGGGGGGGG